ATGAATGAATGAATGAATGAATGAATGAATGAATGAATGAATGAATGAATGAATGAATGAATGAATGAATGAAAGAATGAATGAACGGAAGAATGAATGAATGAATGAATGAATGAATGAATGACAGGCCAAGTAAATCGTAGAGGAATCGCGCGCTCGTCGAATACGTAAGTAGATAGAAAAATATAAAAATAAAAAATAGAAAAGAAAAAAGAAAAAAGAAAAAAGAAAAAAGAAAGAAAAAAAGGAAAAAAGGCATGAGTCCAAGCAAAGATTTTCATCAATGAGAGAGTAACGTAAGTAAATAAGTACTTACTTACTTAGACGCGTGTTGTTATTTGAGTTGGTCCTTCACTCCTTTCAACTAAAATCCTTCCCTTTAAGTTTTAATTATTAGATTAAGTTTCAGTAACTACTCGACTCTGTTAACACCTCGTTGAGATAAAATCAAATTACGTAAATCGTGGATTAAAACAGATCCCGAAAGATAATTGAAAATTAATTATTATACTTTCCTCTCAACCCTTACCACCACTATCACCACAATTCTCCTCAACTCCCCCTATTTTCCTTTTATCATTCCCGTTCCATGTTTCTATGTAAGGCAAAATAATTTTTTTCTTTATCCTTACCTCTCTATCTCTTTTATTTTTTTTTATCCTTCTCAAAAAACATTTTACTCTAATAGACGTACCGATCGAGTGAATCAATTGAATTCTTTGTTTCCATCAATTAGAATATTATAGATAATGAAGATAAAAATCGATAATATCTTTCGCATATATAGAATTTCGTACGAACGAATAAATGTCTGTCCCTATCTATAATTTCTGATTAAGATTCGACAGTGAATTTAACGGGATAATATAAGATTATGGTTTCTGTCTAACTATACCAAACCTTACTACATTTGACACAATCGATATATTAAGACACTTTTGGGGGTATAATCATGGTGACCCGAATTTCAAGTAACATATGCGACCACGTTCACTAATATATATATATATATATATATATATATATATATATATATATATATATACAAACACCCACACCATATATATGTCACCATTCAAAGAAATTAAAGACGACAGAAAGATATGAATATATATATATATATATATATATATATATATATATATATTTTTGTTCGTTCTATCTCGTATGACCTTGAACTTGATGGCTAAGAAAATAAAACCTTTGTTTGCTCTTGTCTTTCTCTTTCTCTATTTCTCTTTCTCTCTCTCTCTCTCTCTCTCTCTCTCTCTCTCTCTCTCTCTCTCTCAATTCTAATTAAATGGATATAACATTATCTTACCAGAAATAGGATTACTGCGAAGAGATTAACATGATCGATCGATCGATCGATCGATCGATCAATTAAACAACGTTTCTACCATAGTGTTACGTTTCAAAGAGAAACGAATAGCTCTCTACCAATGAGATATCTCCCAAAATACACCCGACGATACTGGTTACTAACGATCATGTTGTCATATGTAAATAAGTACGTATCCTATAGGTTGTAAATCAACCGATAATTCAACGAACGAACGAACGAACGAACGAGCAAGCGAACGAACGAACGAACGAACGAACGTATAAACGAATTTCTGTATCGTTAGGTTATATCCTGGGGACTTAGTAGTGGGTTGAAGGGATCTTGATTTTGTTGATCAAGAAATAAATTTCATGTAGATTTATCTATATACATATACATATATATATATATATATATATATATATTTACATAGATCGGAGAATGATTTAAGATGGACAGTCATGCACGCAAGCACGCAGCAAGCACGCAAGCAAGCACGCAAGCAAGCACGCATGCATCGATGCATGCACGCATGCATGTACGCACGCATGTTCAAACGATTATCAAATTTATAATCGCAGCTGCCATACTCACCATACGTTAAAATTAATCATAACAATAAGTATAACTATTAAGAACGTTTATGCGACGATTATAATAGCGATTTATTATCCTTAACTTTTGAACGATATTTTTTTTATCCTTTTTTTTTTTTTTTTTTTTATTTTTCTTTGAAAAACAAAAAAGTGAAAGAATGCGAGATAGATAGAGAAATAGAAAGGAAGAGAGAGAGAGAGAGAGAGAGAGAGAGAGAGAGAGAGATAAGGAAAATAGAATATATCGATTTTACAATAAATCCTTATTGACTATAAAATAATATAAGTAGATAGGCTTTAACGATCGTCATACCGTTTTGAAGTGGATATATAATAATTTGACGAAAGCTTGCTAAGGTTACTTCCCTGTTTTATATATATATATATATATATATATATATATATATATATATATATATATATATCGGTCATAATGAGTCAAGTGCACATCGTTGAAGTTGAATCATAACAATTCACAACTTTCAAATATCGACTACTTTCGATGAACATTAAAGGTCCATTAATGGGTTTACCTTGAACGATCTTATCTTTTTTCTCTCTTCTTTTTTCTGTTTTTTTTTCTTTTTTTTTTTTTTTTTAATTTTTTTCTTTTATCATTTTTTCTTGTTCTTCTTTTTTAACTTTTCACCGTTAGATATTATATTAAATTTATGATCGACGTTTGTTGAACTAATTGAATTAAAGTTAACGCGTAAACTTGTATATTTCTTACTTGAATCTTTTTAATTTGCCTCGAAGAATCTCCTTCTTTATCTTTGCTAAATTCTCTTCTATTAAACTATCTCTCTCTCTCTCTCTCTCTCTCTTTCTCTCTCTTTCTCTGTTTTATCGTCTAAATTAACTTTCATTGCTTTTCTTGTTACACTTTTTTTATTACACAATGAAAACAATAAAAAGAAAAATTATAATTTTAATATTGAAAAACATCATCATCGAGAATATGTCGGTTTACTTGAAATATCATTTATAAAAGGAATATATAAATAGATTTATAAAACTTTGTTCCTTCTTTAATTCAATCACGAACGAATATTATTCCATAGATAAATATTTAAAAGGAAAATCGAAGAAAATGAAATTTCCTTAAAGACAATCAAGATGGAGAGTTCGTTTAAAACGATCTTCTCGATCTAATTGGAGTTATCTTTAAAGTTGATCTGTGTTATGTGAACATTGAGCGTTTTGATTCGATATATAACATCTCTCTCTCTCTCTCTCTCTCTCTACCTCCATATTGATCTATCTATCTATCTCTCTCATTTTCGTCTTAGAACTCATTCCGTACTCTTACTTAGAGCTCTCACGTGTGTCGCATTTGAGAGGTTCCTCGCAAGATCATAAGGAAGGTGACTTAATTAGATCGAGATTAATCAGGTAGCATCCCTTAGATGCGTACTCGGTTACGTCTTAGAACGTCTTCAACGTTCATAGCGTATCTTAGATTCGAAGGCGTGTCTTCGATCTATTCGCTCGGAAATATATATATATATATATATATATATATATATATATATATATATACATCTTTGATAATTATTCCTCTGCTCTTCGTTATAGCGATTAATTTTACGAAGCATTAACAGCTGGTGTTGTATTACGTTTCGATAGCAATTCGACACGTTAGTCAACTTCATTAATAGCAAAAGATAAACAATATCGCTACGAGAATAATTTTATTATCTCGTTTATCGATAAGTATGTATATATATATATATATATATATATATATATATATATATATATATATATCGATACGTATCATAAAATTATCCTGTCGCGTACATAAATAAATATATATATATATATATATATATGATTATTTACTTTACACAATTCTTATTCAAATGTTAACTAAACGAATGACAAAAATAATATCATATATCATTGAATGATCCTTAACACACTAATCTTTGTGATTATTGTTATTTCCTGTTTTTTTTTCATTTCGATTATATCATTCTTGAAATTTTAACTCCACGTTTTTATCTATTAGAAAAAAGAAAAAAAAAAAAAAGAAAGATGAAAAAAAAAATAAGAAAGGATTTGATTAACGATAATATAGATAAAAAATAAAAAAAAAAAAGAGAAGAAAAAAGAAAAATAAGAAGAAAAAAAATATAAGAAAGGATTTGATTAACGATAATATAAAAAAAAAAAAAAAAAGAAAAGAAAAGCTTTAACGTCGGTCTGCTTCCACAAACTATTACTATTAACGACTTGGCTCGTTATTATTTTTAATAAGAAAAATAATGCATAAGGAAACTACGGAAAAGTTGTTCGTTGTATTATTCCGTACTCGACTGGATTTTATAACTTCGAGGAAGAAATTAAAAGACGCGTATACATGTGACAACACCGGGACTTTTAACAAAGCTTAAAGGACTCCGGCGGGTGCACAACGCAAGACCGTCCTCCTTATACCCTTCACCCTTTCTATTACATCTTTCCCTTTTTGTTTTTGTTCCTTCGTTCATTTTCTTTCGTTTTGTTTCTTT